TAACTTGTCTTTTACATGAGGGCATACAGTTTAAGATATTTATAATAAATCGAATAATGCACATTATAATAAAGTATTTGAAAAAATAAGGCTATTTATTTGTAAATATATCTATTAATCACATCTGAATTCTTGAATTCGTATTTTTAAAAGATATATGTATTCTTAAGCATATTGGATAAAAGATGCTTCTGCTTCTGCCTGTAAAAGTATAAAACTCGTATGCACGATTTTACGAGATAAGAACAAATTATTCCTTACAGTTGAAAATGTCTATAATCATTTTTAAATATCGAGTTTGCTTTGACAAAATGGACATATGAAAATTACATGCATATTAAATGAAATTATTATCTCTTAATTATTTTCGTTTTCAATTTCGGATATTTACTGTTAGAAAAATTGAAAACATATACATTGCTAATTATTGTAATTGTATTCAAAATTAGTTACATTTCACATCTATTTATTTCTATATTTACTAAGGGCAATTATTGAATACATAAATTAGAATATTTTATAATTTTTTCGAAAATTTTAAAATTCAGACAAAATAACATTCATTTGTTATTTTTTATATTTATTATAATAATTATGCTATTTGACGTAAGAAAAGTATATCTTCATGGCAACTGATAGGTTATTAAAAGAATTCGTTTACTTTTCATATTTGTAATAAAGATCTGATTTACGAAAGTACCTATGAAATTAAGTCATTGCAAAAAGTCGTCAAATAAATGTGATTGTTAAAGACAAAAATCGTTGATATGTTATTACACGAATTGAATCGCAAATTTAAAATATTAAAATGATATATTAACAGACCATCTGCTTCTTATTTTGTATTACAAACTTTTTTTTTATCTTATAAAACGCCTATAAGCAAGAAAAAATTAAATAATAGAGTAAATAAATAATGACAATAACAATGCCATTAATAAAATGTATATTTTGTCTTCCTTTCTTATTCTTAATTTCGTTCTATATATATATGTATTAAAATACATGCTCCTTATATATATAAATTTATCGATAAATTAAAAAAATTTATTGATATAGAGTTAAGGTAAATCTACGAAGTGAATACTATCAAACTTAATTGCAAGAGAAAGTTGCTCTTATCTAGATACCTTGGCTTTCCTGTTTTAGGTTTGAGGATAAATCGAGTACGTTTATTTGGCATATAAGTACATTAAATAAAACTTGACTTAGTTTACCGACTGGTCAATTTTATTTCTTCTGCTATACCTTTTATCGGTCACATAAATTCAAATTATAAGATTTTTTTTATATTAAATTGTATTTTCTTACTATGTATCCATGAATAATTATTTTTAATTAATTAAGATTTTATTTACATTATCATGTATATATTTCAGTAAAAATAATTATAGATAAAATACTTTTAATTTTATTAACTTCATCTCTAGTTATATAAACACTTTAGTTATTCCTTAATCAAATTTATATGATAAAAGCACATATGAATTGTATTTCGATTAATTAAAATTAAGTTGCAAAAATAAAAAATATTATTTTAGTACTACTTTAACTAATTCATAAGAAAGAATAATAAAACAATGATTGTCTGGAGTAACCGAGAAAATGGTATTTTCGAATGTTTAGACTTGAATACTATTTTCGTAGTATACATAATAATATAATTAAATTGCTTTGAATAATACGAAATTTTGTTATTATAATTGGTATCTATTAACAATTGATATTTTATTTAATTATAAACACATTTAAGGATAATAAAATTTCTTGGAACTTTATATGTGTAATAAGATCGATCGTCATTTTCATTACCTTAAAGAATTCAGTGTAATTATTAATGTTGATTAATTATATTATGCGTGTAACTTTTTAAAAAATAATCATAAAAACAAAAAATACAACTCGAAGCATCTTGTGCAACATTCGTGCTAAGTCTATTCTATTTCTTTCGATTTTTTTTTTCAAAATGCACATTAATTTTTTTCATAAGATATAAATCAACATGAATGAAGCTACACTACTACTTTTAAAAGCTGACCAAAAACTTTGAACGTTGCCGTTGGAACGAAATGGGGATTCCAGCACAATCGCTAATTTCCAAATATAAATTCTCAATTGGAGGGGAGAAATGCGTTTGCTTAATAACTCATTCTATTAAGAACTTTTATCTTTAAGGACTAAATAAGTAACGACTTATTCAATAAAGAGGTAATAAATATTGTAGATTAATCGTTAAATTGTAATAGTTAATTAACATTTTTTAAAAATTTTGTCTTATAATTTATACAATAAATAGAAATTTCATGATTAATTATGAAATTTGAAATGAAATATTAAATGAAAAAATAAATTTGTTATTATCCGAATTATTACTGCATTGGCTAAGAGAACATAAATCGATATAAATATCTTATTTTTTCTAATGCTATGGGTTGTGTGCATTCCTTATTATTTTATTTATTGTAAAATTTATTTCAAGAGTATTCGTTGTATTTTGGTTTTCATTTACCACTTACAAAGAAAGGGAAGTTGAGTATGCCGTTCTGGAAGCAAAATATAAGAAACAAAAGTATATCAATTTACTCTTAAAACTATGTCGGTATCATGTATTTGTAATAATATAGAATAATTTAGAGTAATATATAACTTTGTATTTCAATAGTTTTTACAGATACAGTTTCAAACAAATTCTTATAAGCTTTTAGGAAAAGTAACACGTATATAATTGTATTAATTGAATTTTTTAATATAAATTTTTATAGCATAAATTTAATACTTTATTCAAACACTGTATCCCTTTTCGTCATAGGTAAATATGAAGGTGAAATTGAAGTTAAGCATAATAAATTCATAACGGTCAAAATTATTTAAAAATGTAAAGATTACAAAATTTTAACTAATTTTTTAACACTATAGTACGTATACATAAAAAAAACCTACTTATTTTTTATTGTATCTTGGAATTACATTAATATTACGTATGCATTGATAATTTATAGTAGATGTCATGTTTTGTAATCATATAAAAATTATTTAAAAATATTAAATGGAATAATTAATCAGTATCATTGTGATCTTAAGGCTGTAACGTATTTTTATTACAATCGTCTGTAATTTATTGCTTTATGTAATTACTATATGTGATATATATTATTTATGATATGGAAACAGTTTTTGTTTAATACAAACTGTATATAACATACTTTATAATTATTATTGCAATTATTTAATTTAATGAAGAAGCTCTTCAAATACGTATTCTATTATAAAATGGAACTAAGGTTGGTCTATTAAAAATGATAAACAAAACAATTTAATTCATAAAATTGTATCCGATTTATTAAATTTCATTTATGCCTAAATAATCAGCTCTTTACATAAAGTGTATGTTATAATTATATGTATATCAATGTTTGATATCAGAGAGTTCAATATATTCAATTCATATTAATTTATATATATATAATATTTATATATTTATATATAATATACTATGAATTAAATTATCATACAATGTTTATAAGTGATGTAACATGGCTATATCTAGGCACATACATATAACAGCAAATTGCAAATAAAAAATTATGTGTTCTGGTGGTATCTTTTCTTTCAAGTTGAATATATCGCGTGATATATATATATATATACACATACATACATATACACACTCAAGCACGCACGCACGCACGGGTGTACGCGTGTACGCATGTGTATATATATACATATATATAATATTTATATATTTATATATTTATATATTTATACCATAAGACATATTTATAGAATGATAACTAAGTGGGTGCACTTAAATTTGTATGTACAATAAAGAAGAGAAAGTACAATTTTGTGTTTAATAAGATTCTATTCTATAGTTTTTTCTATTAGTTTTTCACTTTCTCTTTCCTTTTCACTTTGTTAACAGATGCATTTATGTATAACATGTACAGTACGCCTCTAATTATAAGGTTGTAGCATTAATTCTTTTTTTTAGAGTAGACGGCAAATTGTACAAGGGGCGAGAGACGATGATTACAATTATTAGGTGTTTGGAAAAATGTATATATCCACGGTTCTCGTCTACGTCTTCTTACGTAGAATATATTTACATGATACTTATGACGAGATCCGAATCGAGAGTCAGGAAATTATGCACAATCTTATTTTTGAGATTTCTTTTCGAGAAATCCTATTATAAGGGGAAATAGGTAAGAAGATACTCTATATGATGTACAAAATATATCCAGATCCTCTTTTTAACCGAGGGAAATACTGTCGTGGAAATACTGTCTTGCTGAATTCGGATGCGCCTTGACAGTTTACTTTATCACTTGTTTCATCTTTGCACTTATAATTATAAATTTAATAAAATGAATATGCAAGTCTAAAGCTTTTTTATGCTCTTCGCCCGGTTTAAGAAGAGGGTTTTCCCTTATGGATTATATGAATCTTTCGCCACCACTAATTATTAAAAAACAAATAATTAATTTAATCTATATACACATTTACAGACATTTTATATTTTTCAAACATTATAAACTAAACCAATCTTATCCAAGCTAATATTATCATTATGCATTGTGCACTTTTGTTATTAACTTTGTTTTTTCTTTACATTCAATTATTCGTGGAGTAAGCGTTGTATTGTAGTTAATAAATTTATCGTGCAAAAGTAAAAAACAGGACGAAAATGCATCTTACTTCAGAATGCCTCGCAATGCGCATGAATTTTGTTTTTTCTGTTTGTTAATTGTTGCTCATTCAACAGAATGTGTCAACCATATTCATGCAATTAATAGGAGTAAAATGACAGGTGACGCATTAACGATGTTTTAACAATTACAATTATATAACTCACCGAGTACTTGATTTGTACTTATGATAAATTTGAGCTTCAAATTTGCTCGATAAGAAAAACTAATTTCTCGCGCACCCGGCAGAGAGAATAAACCTGATAACTACTATAATTCTTACTTATAAAAAGTAAAAAAAAAAAAAAAAAAAAAAAAAAAAAAAAAAAAAAAAAAAATAAACAGAACAACAATATTACCTCAATATTCGTATCGAGCAAATTGTAATTCTTAAACGCTGTGACAGATAATAGAAAGGCAACTAAAAGTAACAAGTACAAAAATGATTAATTCAGACATATTTTGTTAAAAGCACCAATTTGCTCGCATATTTTCGAGTATAAATTATTGATTACAACACTGTTTATTTATATACCCACGCGTGGTTTATAATTTTAACCATTTAAACAGTTGGTAATTCGAGTAACTTCATAACGATTGCGCCTCAGTGTACATTTTAAAGTTGCACTGACACTACGTTGAGAAATGTAATTTCAACATACACGTCTTATCGCTTATTGGTATTACTAACGTTTACTTTTTACAGTAAAATATAAAAAAGTCTGAAAAATTCGGTTACGATGATCGTTAAAAACAAAAATGTAAATATAAAGAAGGAACAAGCTTGCACAGTACGGTCCCTCGCTTATCCTACAATATTGAACAAATCTAAGTGTGATGATCTACAATTAGTGCTTGGTTAAAAAGAAATATGTTACTTTTTTTACCGTACAATATAATCCGATTACGCAAAAGTCGCTTATATACAAGTTTTAGACAGGCACGCGGCTTACGCAATGGCGCACGTACACTTTGCGTTCGGTTAAGTTCGGCTTTTTAATTGGGTGAATCTGTCGTTAAAAACCATCACAAGTGTAACACTACAGTTTAAGAGATTGGGTCTGCGTCTGCGTGTAGTTTGCACGAGTCAGTGGAATGAGAAAAAAAGATGAGAGCGAGAAGTTTGTCATCGTTTCGCATTAAAAGGTCGAAGTAATGGTCGAGCAGTTAGGACCTCGGCGCAGGATGATTGTAGAAGCTTTTGTGTGGTTGTGGAGGTGGGAGCGGGTAGACGACGACGGGCGGCACTGTGGGCTGGGTCGCCGCTGGCGAGAAGCGTGCTATGGAAATGCTGGGCGTAGTGGGCGGTGGTACAGGGGGCGGCACTGGAGGTGGTGGCGGCGGTGGTGGCGGCGCTGCGACGAGTAGGGGCACTGGCCCAGGTGGGTAGGGATTTGCGCCTGGTGGCGCTTGGGTTACGGCGAATTGTTGGGGGATGGTGGCGGGCGTTGGCTTGAGACCGCTCGGGTAGCCAGTTACAGCGACGGTCGTTGGTAGTTGGAGAGGGTAGCCCGGATATTGGATGACACCTGGGCCTCCTCTAGGCGTCTTCACTTGCGGGAATTGTGGGTAGTGAATGGCGGAGCCTGGTGGGGGGATGTACGGCTGAGGCGGTAACTGAGCGACCGGGTAACTGATGACTCCTGTATTACCGGGACCGGCAGCAACTACTATTGGTGCGCTCGTAACTACTCCCGCGGTTGTGGTTGTCGTTTTAAGTATCGAATCACCGCTGCTGAGGCCTGCAATGAAAAGGCGGTCGTTTTTTTTGTTTTTTGTTTTTTTTTTTGTTTTGTTTTGTTTGTTTGTTTGTTTTTTGCTTTTGTTTAAATATTGTTCAAATAGCCTTATTTTTCTGCACTTTTCGAAATTTGCAAACAATAGTTATCCATTGTTTTAAGTGACTCAATGTTAAATTATAATATATTGAAAATTATTCTTGTCTCCCTCATTATACGGTTTGAGAATGCCTAAAGTGGCAAATATAATTTCATTATTAAAAAGAAGAATGATACCAGCGTAATCAGTAAAATTTTAAATGATAAACAGCCAGTGGCTTATAGATCAAATATTTACAATTGATAAGATTGTATCGAAACGTTATAACCTTTATTTATTTTTCAATAATGAGTATCAAAATTTTATGCCACATATTAGAAATTTAATGTGAATCTTACATTGAAATTGCTTTAAGTACTTTATTTGCGATTCGAGGCTTATAATGATAAATTAAATAGAGCACATGTAAGGATATATACAGATAGTTAAAGAGAATTGTGCAGGTAACGGTCTCATAAAAATCTTATCTTATATATTATATACACTTTATACTTATATATTTATTAGACATTCAATTGTCGAATCAAATACTTTTGTATCGAATTAATAAAGTTTAATATAATAAATTAATAATAAGTTGAATATAATAAATAATAAAATTTAAATATGTATAACGATTATGCGTAAACATTCTTCGTTATTTCACAAAGACATTAATGAAGTTGTTGCATTGTAGTATAGTCGATTTTTAATTTTAAACGAATATAATGCTTGACACAATTACCTTGTTTGCGAGCTCTCTCTTCCTCGTCATCGTTTAAGAAAAGTCCAAATTCGCGCTTGAGGCGCTCGGTGAGATTTTCTCTTTGTCGCTCGACGAGTGTTGGGGCAGCTGACCAGCCGATGGTTCCCTCATCACCGCCTGTCAATAAGCTTCAATATTAATAGAGACATTCAAATCGGTCGATTCGTTATTTATTGTGATATGCTGCGTGAAATGCTTTCGTTAAACGTGTGTATCAGTGGGAATAATAGTGTGACTATTGCGGGAAGGAGGAGGAAGAGGGGGATACGTTATATAAATAGTAGCGCTAATTTTTAATATTAATGCTTCTGAACTTTAACGTACGTCATAGTCTGAATTTTTTAAGTAAATTTAAGGCCAAATTCAAGGAAAACGACCGATTTTCTTTGCGTAATCGGTATTAATTTACGTAAAGCAGCAACTGTTACTGATAAGGATATCGATAAGGCAATTCAATCTGATATTTGCTGAACACGTTTACTGTCTTGTGTAAGTGATGATAACTAACGTTGCGGCCGTGGATGTTACCTTTTTTCTCATCGCTGTCCGCATTGGCGAACATTGGCAGGGCGTTTAGGCTGGGTATGTCCAGCGCAAGTTTCGAGACACCTTCGTCGTCCGAGCTAAGCGAAGATGTACTGCTGCTGGCGCTGTCGGATCTTCCTCGACCGGGGCCTTTGCCCTCTGTCGATGTCTCAGAGTTTTCTGGCTCCGGTGGCGTCCCTGTCGACTGTTGCTTGCGCTTACGGTACTCCGAAATTGACAGCTGTAACGCAACGACACGCTTAATGATACCGTATTATATTTTCGAATTGGGCAGACATTTTTTACGCAGTTCGACAATAGTTAGTTCTGAATGAAATTTCTCTTGATACTGTACTTTTAGGCCTCCATTTTTATCGGACACTTAAGAAGTTGCTGGTGCAATATTTTACATGTTTTATGCTTAACAATGATTCGAATAAATTTACAAATCAATTACGTAGACGTATCAGGTGCCAATCTTATGCGCAAGTTTACAAGATTATGATTAGTTCAAGTCATGAACATTATGACGTGAAGCATATTTGCACGTTTCGAATCGTTTCAAATTAATTATAGCTTTAGTGTAAAATTTATATTTGTACAAGCTTAGTTTGAATATAAATGTATGTACAATTAATTTGTCACTCTAGTTTCGTTATTTATGTTATAGTTTTAATATAGTCACGTTTTAATATAGACGTTTGAAAAAAAAATTTATACGATAATCATAATTTTTTATAATTGTTAAAATCTCACAGCAAACTATTATATATATATATATATATATATATATATATATATATCAAATAATATTAATTATTATTTAATTGCGTAAAATTAATTATGCGAATAAGCGTGCCTTACCTTTCGTTTAACGGGAGGAGGTCCCTCAATTTTCGATGGCGATGGAGTAGGCATTTTATTTGGCACAACTGTTCTAGGATCCTTTAATCTCTTCGGCTCGTGAAGCGAAGGTCCCTCTTTTTTCACTGGGGGAACTACTTCTTTACGAACTTGTTTATTGACTACAGGTGGCGGCACTGTACATGGGTCTGAAGTTTCTTTACTTAAAACTTCTTTAACTGAATTAATTTCGGAATTGATACTTATTTTATTATTTTCTACGTCATTTGCATTGACAATATCAGATATAGACTCACTTTCAGGCTCGATTTTCGCTTCTAGTAACTCTCGCAATGCCGTCGATAACATTTTCTTCTCTTCGCCGTTTTGAGCGTCTTCAATGATTTCCAAATCTAAAGATGATTCGATAATTGAGGCTTCGATTTTTAATCTTGATTTCGGGGTTGGATTTGAATCTGCTTTTTTACGGATTCTTTCGCTTAGTGGTGGAATGGAGGGAAAGAACTTTGTAGGCTCTTGTGAAATATCTTCGGAAGGTAATTCCATTGAGTCCAATTCTATTATAGATTCTTCAGGTGTAATAATAGAGGAGGATTTATAATCTTGCTTTGCTGATTCGTCATCCTGGTATCGACCAATTTCTTTAGTAATAACAATATTCTGCGAATATTCTAAATCTTTTTCTATTGAATCCAATGATTCTTTATCTGTTAAATTTGCTTGCTCAATTTGAGCTTTAATGTTTTCTTCTGCTAATTTTTGTTTTTGTTTAATGGCTTCAAATTCCGCTTCGATCGATAAAGACTTATTTTTGCATTCGAATTCTTTAAAAACCCTTTCCTCCACAGTTTGTATATCCTCTATCATTTCACATGATTTTTCGAAGCTTTCATTGGTCTGTTTAAGATCATCGATGTCTCTATCATCAGAATCGGACTCCGAGTCTTCTTTGGAACTCTCCATTAGTCCCTCGATTCCATCCATACTTTTATCTCTTTCCGAACTAGTCTCGACTTTTTCTTTATAATCATCACCATCATCGCCCGTAATTTTTTTCATTTGAGCCTCGACATCGAATTCATCAATGGATGTATTATCATCAAATCTATCATCTTCGGATTTAATGTGCATTAAGTCACTTTGATTTTGAAAAGACTTTTCCGTATCACTATTAAGAATCGCGAGTCCAGCAATATTGCCACTAAATTCTAATCTTAATTCTGCTACTCGCTGTTTTAATTCGGCATCTGATTCCATTGCTGCAATCGGAGAACTTAAATCATCCGTTTCTAAATCTTGTTCATTCTGATCTATTATTTCCACAGTCCCCGTTCGTATTATTTCTTCAATTTTTACAAGTTTCTTTTCTACCTTCGGCGTTTCATATATACTAGAATGAGGCTCAGTTTTAACGCGTATCAATGGCGTATTTTCCGTTTTATAATGTCCTTTAATTTTTTCATTTTCTGATTTGATACAATTTCTTGTATTATGCGAAGAAACGTCTTCATCTTCAGATTTAGATTCTTCTTTTATTTTCATCGATAAAATCGACTCATTTTCCTCTTTCACGTATCTTGATGTGATAGAATGTGGACTACTAATTTTGCATTTTCTATCCGTTTCATCGATTATTGAATATTTAGATTTTATTTCATCTTTTACTTGATCAGAATCATACTCCGTTTGTGATCCAAGATCTTCAATACTTGGCGATTGCAATTGTTCAACAAAGTCGTCCTGCAATAAAGTATACGTTGAAAAATGTATAACGCGTATAATCATTCATTTTAAAGGTATATTGAGATTTTTCTTAAATGAATAAAAATTTGATATACGAAAAGCATAAGGTGTGTAATCACGTTGAATAATTGCATTACTATGAATTTTAATAATATAGAGTAATACATTTGCATAAAACCATTACCCTTTACTTAGTGTATTTCACATAATAATGTACAATCAATGATAATTTCTTATATATTTTTAATTATTTCTCTTTAATATTGTGTATTATACAAAACTTTTCTATTGTCTGGTTAATTATTTAACTGTTAAACAAGTTATATGGACTAATAGTAATAGATTATTATTTCTTCTGAGAATTATTTCAAATACAAAATGCTAATTGTTGGTTTTGAAGAAAAAATTATTCAACATGTTCGCTGCGATATGAGATAACGATAGTTTTTTTTTTTTTTTTTTTCATTTTAATGCAAAATATGATAAAATTCAAGCGAGTTTTAAAGCGGCCACTTTACGTTTTGACGAACTTAAATGTGTGCACGACTCAAATTTGCTGATTGCTTTATTATTTAGAACAACAGATTATTAAATCAAATTACAATTACATTTCTTAGAATGAGCAGTATCTTCGTTGGTAAAATAGAAGAGTTTAAGAAAAATTTAAAAACCTTGGATTGTCATCTAAAAAAGCTGTAACATAAATGAAAGAGTCAGAATATTTTGTAAAGATTGTGAATCTTAATTTAACGATTTGTGCTTAGACTGGTAGAAAAAAATTAATTTATCCATTAAGTAATAGATTATGTTCAGTCGTTAGTACAGGTAAATAATTGTTTGTTGAAACAAAAGTGTGTTTATGCAGCGAACGTGTTAAAGACTACGCGTAAGTTGAAGCAAATCGTTAATTGTCATTCATTGCCATTAATTTTACATATTGCATACACTTGGCTCCGTTGACTTGGAATAAATGCCATATAATCAACATCACATCAATACACATATGTGTTTGTTCTATTTGTAAAGTAAACGAGCGGAACGTATAAGTCCATTTGAGACATTGTAAGCTAATCGCGAATAGAAGTTGCGCGGTGTTTCTAGATAAACAATTCAAATCAAGATGGGAAAAGGTCGTTCAGCGGCAGTTAAGTGACAGACCTCGTTGATAGAGCGCCGATGTACGGGCATATGGTCTTGCTGCATCATTGTCGGCGTACTGGGCGGTGTATAGTTATCCGAGGATAGGCTCTCCCGGGCGATACGCCTCTTCTTCGGCGGTGCAACCATTTCGCTCGGCGGACTCTCTGGTCTGCTGCTGTTGGGCGAGTCGCATTCCTCGGAGATGGCTTGCCTGAGCCATCTCTTCTTGGCGGAACCACCCGAGGCCGAAGAGGCGGCAATTGCCGCGACAACCTGTCTGCCGCGCTGAGGTGTCGATTCGCAAATTCCAGATACCGAGTGTGCGGCCTGAACGAGGGTCGCTAGGCTCTTGGTCGCATAGTTCTGAGAGAGGAACTCCGAGGATTGCTCCGGACCGAACTCGGAGACGCGCACTTCCCCCAATTGCGGTTGGGGTTCCGGTGACTCTTTGAGCCATTCGTTCATCAGAAGTTTTTTCGTTTTGGGAAATTTAAAACCGGGTGCGAGCGGTCCGACTGCTGCTGCTACGAGTAAGCAGGCCGAAGACAGAGGCGTGGAGGGTGTCGAACTCTGGGAGCTGCTGCTCGCGCCGCTGTCGCAAGTCGGGCTTTTGATTGGTGTGGGCTGTTGCTGAGGAGGCGAGCTCGAGCCCGGAGCGTTCGAGTTGGCTAGGGCCAATAACAGGCCTGCGGCAGTCGGGATGACCGGCTGTACCTCGATAGGGCCACAGCGATTGACCGCACCAGCTCCGTCGCTTATCTCCTTCGCTGCATGAATACGCAAAGAGTAGGAGCAATTCTGGTTCGGCAAGGGTGGTGATTGCATGGAATTACTCTCGTCACCGGATGTTAGATCGGATTCGGCTGAGTTGAGTCGTGTTCGGCGCGTACCTTGAGATTGCGACGTGCTACTTGACCTGGTTCTACCTTTCCGTCTTTTTCGTCGTGGTGCCTTATCGGCACCACTTTGTTTCGACTTAGTTGGTGCATGACCACTGCTGTCCTCGTTATCGCTATGAGGTCCTCCAGACTCCTTGCGCTGTGCGTTGCGCGCTTGCACTTCCTGCTTTCGTTGCTCGGCTTTTTCAAGACGCTCAAATGCTTTCATGATGGCTTCCATTTTTCGCTCCTCGCGCGTCATCTTTTTCTTATCTTTTTTGGGCTCAGCACTCGGTGCCGGGGATGGCGCGGCAGAAAGGATCGTCGACGATGTAGAGATGACTTTAATTGCCGGTTGACTGATCACTGGGGACGGTTGAATATTTGGCGGTGGTGTGACTGGTTCTTCTTTGATGATTTGTCGAGTGGTCGTTGGTGTGCTGCTGGTGCTGCTGCTTGCGCTGTTGGCGTTGCTGACGCTGCTGCTAGCACTAGGGCTATCTTTGATAAGATTAAGGCTCGTATTGATGTTTACCGTCTTTTTTGGGCTAGGTTGAGCCGGAACCGATGTCACAATTATAGGTGGCGTCGTTGCATTAGTTGTTGTTATTATCGTAGTCGGAGTCGGCGTTAAGACTTCGTTGTCTTCACTCGTCGTATTCCTCCTGCCTCGCCGCCTTCTTTCTCGCCCGCTAATAAACATTTACTTATTAAGTTTGGAATTATATTTAAAAATACATATAAGGTAATTGAAATAATAACTAAGTACTTATATTTTCTCTACGTGCATACATACATGTACACACCCACCCACACACACGAACGCACAAATTATTATTATTATTATTATTATTATTATTATTATTAAGGAAATCTGTATAATTATTTAAATAAGCAAATAAATATATAAACTTTGCTTTGTTTACTAGTATATATATCACTGAAATATAGACATACAGTTAAATGTAAAAAACTTTATTTAATTTAAAATATTGATAAATAAATAGTAATTTAGTTTAACACTATGTTTGAAAGAATTGTATTACAGTGGCTTTAAAAACTATGAAATATACAACAATTAAATATAAATTAAAATCACTTTTTTAGAGTAGAACAGAAACTCCAGTTTGAAGCAGTAAAATGTGAAAACAGTGTAATGAGGAGGTATTAATGTACGAAGTGAATATAGAATATTTTTGAAACTTTAAAAACATTATTATAATAAACGTGATAAGTAAACACGAGCATCATATTTTATTGCTAATAAAAACGTAAAAAACTGACTCAGCGTTTTCAACAAGAGGGCCATTGCTTCCTCTCCTATTCGTAGGCGTCGCTGTTAAACTAGTTAATTGACAATCCTTTAAGCTGTTGCAGGCGCACATGATCGGCATAATTGAGGTATTGGAATTGGGCGAGAGCATAAGATCGTGTTGGTCATGCCGTATCGTTATCTCTGCATTTTTTTCGATGGCCATACTTGTAACAATATACAGGTGTAACGTTCCCTTTTCAATACAGTGCTTCACCTCGGCGTTAGGCTTGCAGCTTCGTCGAACGAAGCGTGCGTCGTTACCATAAGTTCGCGTGTCGACGCAAACTTCCGTATCATCTCGTGGTAGTCGATAAAAGAAAACAAACGGTCCGGGTCGCTGCGTATGCTGTCGACCTTGGAGATGCGACGGCCTGTGCTGAGTGCTCAACATATACTTGCCCCGTAGTTCGACTACAGGTGTATTCGGTGGCAAATACATCGTGGCAACCAGAAACTACAATAAAGAAGTGATATTCAGATTCATTTTTCCCCCTTGAAATATATTCTATTCCGCGTACACATATCGATTGATAATATTTCCAGGTAAATAGCATAACATAAGTTAATGCTAATGTAATATACATTAAAATAAAATTTAATATTATGATTAAATTTATTGGTTGAGTGAAATAATATATAATAAAATAAACTGTTAAAAAAAAGAAGAAAAAAACTTACTCTGTGGTTGTTACTTTGTATGTTTAAGCGACATTTGCCGATGGCTGCGGCACCGATATTGCTTTGACGTAGGTCATTATGTGTGCCGTTGACTTTGATGCTAGATATTCTCGCTCTTAGCTCAGGACTATAATGATTTGTAACGGCCTCTTCGTATCTTTCGATCCATTGCCTTAAGGGTGCCATGTTAGATCCCCACGCGTCTTGTGTTTCTTCCTCTTTATCCTCTATGCTTGTACGCCTTTTAGTTTTTCTTTTGGGTGGTCCTCTTTGTTGTTTAGCTGCTTGCGTCGTAGTCGTGGTCGTTGTTGTAGTTGTCGTCGTGCTCGATTCTTTTTTACCTCGAACTGCATTCGTCTGCCGTGGATGCGTATCTCTTCTCTGTCTCTTTGCAACATTGTTATTATTGTTGTTGTTGTTATTATTATTATTATTATTATTGTTGTTGTTGTTGTTGTTGAGTCGACGCACCTGGGGTGGTGGATCTGATTTTCTTCGAGGAATTGATTGTTGCTGTGGAACTTTTCGATTTTTCGTTGATGTGTTTTGGCCGACATCTGTATCAGCTGAACTCGTCGACGAGCTATCGGATGATGTATCCGAGTTTAGTAACTCCTCACGTTTGCGCATTTGCAGGGCGCGCGCTCGAGCTCGATCCACCCGACGTGGCCGACATACTTCGCACAGATATTCATCGGGAATGTTGGCACGGTCGATACCCATGCAATCCACGTGTTGCCATACCCTACAGATAAAGGCGAAAGCATATTTATTACGTTTATATGAAGATAAAAGAATTAAGATGAGTTTACTGCTAAAAGAACTACAAGTTTTGTATATTATGCCATTGTATTTGATAAAGATGCTTTGGGCGCTCAAAAAAAATTTTGTGACTTAATCAAGCTTTAATGCTCAGTATAATGAATATTTAATATTTACATACATTTGGCATCAAAACTTTTTAAATGCTTTTTTTCTTTTATAAATTATGAAGACATTGATTTGAAACAGTAAATGCTAGAACAACACATTCATTTGAAAATTATTTCTAATACTTAAAAGCAATCTTAATTTATTAAAAAACCAATTTAAATTTTAATTTTTACATAACGAAAATGAAAGTAACGATAGGCATAAAAGTACTTAGGAAATAATTTCAATGAATTCTAATATTATAAATTGAACTTATAATTTTTTCACTCGTTTTAAATTTTAGAATTATTTAAGTAATATATCGTGAAATATATAAAACAAATATGTATTTTAATTATTAAATAAATCTTTGTAATTTAATTTGAATTTGATAACACTTGATGGAAAATGTTTAGCTACATAAATAACAAATCGATTTATTTTGCGAATGTAATGTCTGAATTTATATATTTTTTTGTAACAATACTTACAAGCATCGATCACAACAGATCATGTAACCATCATCGTGTTCAAAATCGCTGTAAAAAACGTACAGAAATATAAGACACAGTAAAGAAAAGATAAATGTCAACTTCATGGTTTACCTACCATATGCAACGGGTGACACTATCCTCGTCATCTCCTTCGCCTTCAGGCGCGGTTTCGGTTTCCTCGCCTTCGGGCTCCACTTCTCGACCAACTTCACTACTTATGGCACTGGTTGCATCATCTTCCATGGTTGTGTTGCCGACAGCTGTAATTTACAGATTACCATGAAAGATTTAAATTAGAATTTCATTAGATTGAAATTTTTATGGGAATTTAATATATATTATATTTTTTGTTACGTCTCTTTTACCTTGATTGAAAATGTAAGAGTGTTGAGCAGTTATGCATGAATTTCCAGCTCCATTAACTGGCTGTTGTTTTGGATGCGGAGGAGGTGATTGTGGCGGTGGTGTCCGCGGGGGTGGAGCACCATAGTTGTGATCTTGGAGAACAAACTGGAGGCACTACAATCACACAAGGATGTTTTTCAAACCAGACATGCGGGCGCGCTTACACAGACCGCGAAAAACAAAAACCAACGTTCGTGCAGAAAAAAAAGTTAAATAAATAGAATGAAGCATAATATTTAAATTACCTCGTATGGAAGCGGCATTCTTCGTTGAGGGGACCGTGGAATCTGTGATGGTGTTACCGTAGTTGTGGCTCCATCCTCCTGTTTTACCTCGCTTTTGATTTCGGCTCTATAAGTATTTATTTATTTTGAAATACTGCATATTAAGTAATACAATAGCATTTAAGTAACATAAAATACCATTTAAGTTTTTTGAGAGAATACAATACATAGTCAGTGAAACTAGAGAATTTAACGTATATAAACAGCATCTAGAGTTGACTTACTTGAATTCAGTATCTCTACGAGCCTCGGCAGCGCCAATGGGTAACAAGGTTTTGATTTGCCCGGACTGGGGCCTCATCGTTTGCGCGTAATGTACGGTCGTTGGTGTTGTTACCACGAGTTGTTTCTGTTGGATCGCTTGCTGGATCTTAATTGACTGTGCGGAAACTTTGTGCAGTATTCCACCGCTTATGTTACCAGTAACCGCAGCAGCAGAGATGCTGCAGGACTGCTGCGGCAGGATTGTCTTAATACTGCCTTTCTGTTGGATGGCATTGGATATTGGCATATTTATTTGCGTCGCCTGCGTCCCGGTTATAATTTTCATTGCACTCATGTTCGTATTAAGGGACGTTTTGATTCCAACATTCTTCGGCGCGTGATTCCTTTGGGCCGGCTTCTGAGGGGCAAGAGTTTTTATGCAGCCCGGCTGCTTCTGAGTGTTTTGCGGTCCCGTGGGAGTCTGCTGTTGCACTACCGCTATGCCCTGGGTGTTCGGATGATTTCGCTGTAGAGGCTGCTGAATCGAAGCCTTGGCTGTAGCACTCTTCGGACCTCCTGCCGAGTGCAGATTCTGCGGCTGGCCCTTATTGGGCGGACCGACCTTCAAAAGCATGTGTTGATGCTGTTGCGTCCTCGCGCCAGCGTAGGTATGACTCCTTTGTATTTGCTGCTGGGTACTGGTGGCGTTCATCTGTTGCTGTTGCTCCTGCTGTTGCTGCTGCTGTTTTGTTGCAAGCACGAGGTTAGAATTAGCCGGGATCTTGGGCATGTTCGGGATGTTAGGAAGGCTGCTACTCTTGAGAACGTTAGCATTGGCCATGGTTTGCTGCTGCTGCTGCTTCGACTGTTTGGAGCCCTTTGACTGCACCTGCTTCAAGGTCTGCTGCTGCTGTAAGAGCCCATGGATTGAGGCAGTCTGGCTCTGCTGAATTTTGTGGTTAAGATGAGTCTGCTGTGCGAGTACTTTCTGACCAGCGAACGGCTGTTTACCCGCGAGCTGATTCACTCCTGCGACCTGAGCTTTGCTCAGCGTGTGTATCCGTGACATCGGAGCCGCTAGTCGTCGCGTCAGCTGCTGATTTTTATTTGGCCGTGACTGTAACTCGGCTTCTCGACTCGCGGCTTCCGCCAACACCTGCATTTTCGCTTGTTGCTGCTGCTGTTGCTGTTGCTGCACACAACCGGCCGGTAGAGGATAGATATTGGCGACGCTTTGGACCGGCACAAGCTTGTGGAGCTCGCGCGATGCCGGTGCCGCACGGTGAAGCTGATGTCCGCAGGTGAGAGGAGCCGGCGAGAGCTGCACCAGGCCCTGGACACCTGCGGGCTTGGGGGTAGCGTTTTGGACCGGGCCCAGTGGTCTCAGGGTCGCCAGTTCTTGCGATAGTAATAGGCCCGCGATATTGTCAGACGGCTTGCGTTGATGTTGCGGTAGGAGCTCGAGATTTCCCGGACGTTCGGGACTCGGGTTTGTTGGATTACGACTGGGACTAGGGCTCCGCCGGGGGCGCTGCTCACCGAGGGCTGCAGACGATTCATGTTCGGGCCTCGGGGATGAACGCTGTGCCGACTTTGATCCGGCCCCGACCCCGGAAAGTTTGATGACCGAGGGGGTCGACGTCTTGGAGGTGGTGCGCATTCGCCGCGCGGCGTGACTGGACAGACTCGCTTGGCTGGACGTCCGTGGGTGCCGCTGGAGGCTGTATTACCTGCGCGCCAGGCGCTGCTCCGTGATCCTCGCCCAATTTCACTATTTGAGGCCGCTGCGCCCTCGGCTGCTGGAATTTGAAAAGATGATTTGGACGTTTAATAGGTTGGCTGTGGTATATGTTTGTGTCTAGGCATTCACCTCTTTGTTCGTCTTTTATCGGTTGCGTCATGACGAACATCGTACCGACCAATTATAAGAAAATTTCAGGGGTGATGGAATTTCTTATTCCTATTATGGGTCTCTCCTATTTAAAGTTATCGCAAGTTTGAGAAATTATTTGACACTTTCAAGCGTTTGTTTCTCTACGAGTTCTTCTTCCTCTTCTTAAATTCAAAAGAATGTTTTATTGCCATATGAAAAGAGAATTTTTCGACGTCGCCGATTTCAATTCTGAGGTACAAATAATTAAATTTCACAATAGTTGGTTCAACACGGTTGTCTGAAATATAAAAGATAAATATTCTAGTATTTTCAAAAGTTAACAAGAGATTTAGCCCTTTAAAATGTCCTAAACCACTTGTAAAATGAGTTTACGATAATTAAAAAATCAACGATATGATTAATAAAAACTTTAAAAACTTTTA